TCGTAGTAATTGTAAGATAGGCCTTCATAATTAGTCTCATTTTGGTCGCCACTAATGCAGCTGCATAACAAGCTCATGACAAGAAAACATGATGCACAGGCTGCAGCTATGCTCTTTGGTTTCATCGTCTCTTTTATTTCTGTAACGGGAGTTTGAGTTAATTGGAGAGAAGATGACTATCCTATTGCGCTTGGAAGTGTATGTATGAATATATAGGAAGCCGAAGCTATAGCCGTGACATTAATTTGATTTTAACCGATCGGTTTCGCTCGATTTTTGGTTTAAGTTTGGTTATCCTCATGCTTTCTCATTTCACGAACCCAAAGAAAAAGCCATATGGAATCCGCATTATGCCGGTTGATCTCAATTTTCGGCTGATTAATTCGAATTTAAGTGAAAAGTTAGCTTACTTTATACAATTTCGCTGGAGCGATGTGACACTAATAATTAAAATGCCAACATAAGTAAATACCGGCCAGAGTTGGTATTGATGTTAAGTATGGTCTAGAGCTTCTCGACCGAAACTATTGATAATTAATATAACGCTGAATAAAATATATATATATTCAATGGTAGAGAAAAAACAGCTGTTTCATTTTTTCATCTTTTTGTTTCAGTAATAGTTGATATAAAAGCTGTGAACCGGTGGACCGGTTTAGATCAATAAATGGTTATAGGTGGGAACGGTTGATTGAGAAGACAAGGCAAAGAATGAGTAGAGCAACATGCATAATGTGACCAGTTAGGTTTAGTTTCACGTTGTTCAAAAAAAGGTTTAGTTTCACGTATGCGTTTATCATAATGTGACATGTATATTATCTATCTATCATTCCATCTACGTGTATATTGATTATAGTTTATACTGTACGTACAGAATCAACATTCTAGCGAATATTACTACCTTTATTATATCAAAAAATACATATCAGTTTGTTTGCATTTTAGTTTATCATATACTAATATTTACAATCATTTGATTAGATGTATTAACAACAGATAAATACATAATTTTCTTGCTTAGGTTAAAAGAGGCGAAGGAAAGAAAATACATTCTCATATTGTTAATGAATGTTTTTCCTAGAAAAGAAAATGTAAATGGCCTTGAAAAAGTTATAATAGGAATATGTCTTGGATGAATTCAGACAAGCTATAAAATATTTGGATCGCAATCAATAAGTTCAGAAAAAGAACCGAACACAAAAACGATACACAATAGTACAGTATATGGTTTCTTGATAAATACGAGTAGAGAGTAATGTTGGTGAGACTAATTAATACAAGTTTTTGGTGAAATGAATGCCACTAACTGTTTTTCCAAACGTGGAATCTGTGATCCTGAAAACTTTTATCTGTTTTTCCCTTCTTTTTTATCCGCAACACGTTACTACTTTCTTTGTAGATTACACTTCATAGTTCCAAAAGCGTACGAGAGAGTATCCTCTTATAGTTGAAGTGGTGATTTCATAAAAAGATGCGAATCATATCATGTCATTTTATCTGTATAAAGTATATACGAATTTATTCGTATATATATGAACTAGATCTGCTAAGAAGAACCAAACATGTTATGATTGACCGTTTTATTAGTTAGGAATCGATATAATTAAAGGGCCTAATATTGTCAACGAGAAGTAAATTACGACAATTCTATCAAAGTTATTGTCAACTAGACTATATAGTATAGTCATATTCACGATTAACAATATTAACGGCTTAAAGGTGTAGCTTTCTTCTTCTTCTTCTTCTATGTTTCCCATCTTCATGAAAGTGAGTTTCTGGATTTGTTGTAGACAAAATATAACCCTTATTAAATAACCTTCTTTAAACGAATGTGTATTGGTCCCGCGCTCATCACAAGTTCACAACTATACCAAATTATTTCTTTTGACAAATTTAATTGCATTAATACGTTGAAAACGACTAATACTTACTACATCTCATGTGAAGTTGTGAACCATATACACTGTACATTTGAAAATTATTGACTTCAATTTTTTTTCTCCAAACTCACAATATTTTTTTATGGATTAATATTAGCATTACGTATCTTTCCTACTAAAAAATATTCATCGTCTCTAAGTCAATCATCTTAACAACAAAATTGGTCAACCCCACGGTTTATATAAGAAACCAATCTACTGAGTTTTTGTTGGAAAAAGACCCCATATCCGTTTTTCTTGAGATCTTCACGGCCATGAGTGACGTACTTCTTGTAATACCATTCGTTAGATTCATAGTAATTAGCATCTATTCCAAAGTCCCTATGTTGAGCGTGAGCGTGAGCTAATATACCGTATCCGATTGCGCTCCCGATCTAAGTAATATAGCCTATATAACTTAGGCCCATGAATATTCATAGTTAGGACGTACAAAACTACTACTAAGTCTTAAGAGCATGTTTATTGGGAGGGTGTTTAAAGGGGTGTTTAGAGAAATGGGGTGTTTAGTTTTGAAGGGAGAAAGTGTTGAAAGTGCTTAATTAAGCATTTTCAACACTCTCTCTCTTCAAAACTAAGCATTTCACTCCATTAGTCACCCTCCCTAAGCACCCCCAATAAACATGCTCTAACTGTTTCGCGTGAACCGTATTATACAATATCAGATTTCGGACATAAAGAAAACCCAATACCAAGGATTGGAACATGACAGCCTGTATATAGAGGTACGCAGTATTAAATTTTATGTCTACACACGTTCATAACATTTTTTTTACTCATAATATCAATATCAATTCATGATGAAGACATCGTTTGTGAAAGAGGATGTATCCTAGATTATAAACGACATGACTATATAATAAGAACGATGGTAAAACATGATATGAATAACAAGTAAAGAAAATAACAAAAATAGTCAATAGCAATGTTTTGATGAGTGGATAATCAATCAGGTTTTAATTATTTTAGTGGAACAATCATATTTTTTAGTCACCAAAGATAGAAATATCCCTCAAAGTATTTTACGTCCATTAATCAAAAAAATGTCTAAATATAAAATACAACGCCTAAGAAAAACCCATCTTTACCTCCAAAATCTCTTACCTCCCAAAAACAAAACAAACTCACCGAAACACCGTAAATTTAAAAAACCTCTTTTCTTAAATTTAACCTCTTCCTTCACCAATATAATATCTTTCCCACATCCCCATTTCAAAAAGATAAAAGTAAAAACTAAAAAAAAAAAAAAAAATGAATCGTCGAACAGGAATGGTCCTTGTCCTAACCCTGATTGTAATGTCCGTATGGTGTTCGGACGCATCGGCAATGCAAAAGACAAAGTTCGGCGCACCGCTTCTAACTGAAAAGATCGCAACAAACAGATCGATTATTGTCGACATTGAAGGCAAAGGAGACTACACTTCGGTTCAAAAGGCCATTGATGCTGTCCCTGTTGGTAACTCTAATTGGATTATCGTCCATGTCCGCAAAGGAACCTACAAGTACGTATAGTTTTTTCGAGGTTTAACCTCTTACATGATTTCATATGCACATATCATGTTACATAACATACATAAAGAACACCAAGTCATAGTATCTTTTTTGCATGCAGCATATTGTTATTCAAAATAAAAACAAAATATACTATTCGTCTCGAACGGAAGAATTTTTGCTATACAATTATGGATTTTTGTAAGAAAACATATAATAACGTTTCTGATTCTGAAATTTGATGGGTTTTACTTGTTAAAAGGGAGAGAGTGCACATTCCGGAGAACAAGCCGTTCATATTTATGAGAGGTAACGGAAAAGGAAAAACTGTCATCGAATCATCGCAAAGTGCGGTCGATAATGTTGCTTCAGCCACTTTCAAAGTCGAAGCTAATCACTTCGTTGCTTTTGGTATCAGCATCAGGGTATGTCTTAACATAATTGTAGCTTTCTTTTTCTTTTTTTTAAAAAAATCATATTAATCACATTGACGTGTTAATGAATTTGTGTGATGAATATTACAGAATGATGCACCAGTAGGAATGGCGTTCACGTCTGATAACCAATCCGTGGCAGCGTTTGTAGCTGCTGATAAAGTAGCGTTTTACCATTGTGCGTTCTTCAGCTTGCACAACACTTTATTTGATAACAAAGGTAGACACTATTACCATGAGTGTTACATCCAAGGCTCTATCGACTTCATTTTCGGTCGTGCAACTTCCATTTTCAACGTATGTTTTTTTCCTCTAAAACATAGCACTTAAACATTTAGACAGCCAATAACACTGATTGTAATAATTGTTGCAGAATTGTGAGATATTTGTGGTATCGGACAAGAGGGTGAAACCATACGGGTCAATCACAGCACACCACAGAGAAAGCGAAGAGGAACATACTGGTTATGTTTTCATAAGAGGCAAAGTGTATGGAGTCGATGAGGTTTACTTGGGAAGAGCCAAAGGACCGTACTCTCGTGTCATCTTTGCCCAGACTTACTTGTCTAAGACCGTTGTCCCTGACGGTTGGACCAACTGGAGCTACGACGGCTCAACCAAGTTAGTCTCTGACTTTTTAATTTTTTTTTTTTTCAAAAAGTAATTTATATATTGTTCATATTTATAACTAACATTCTTGACACTTTGATCAGGGACTTATACCATGCAGAGTATAAGTGTCATGGACCAGGTGCTGATAGGCAACGTAGATCAGATTGGGCTAAAGAACTTACCAAACAAGAAGTTGAGTCTTTCTTGTCCATTAATTTTATTGATGGAACCTCGTGGCTTCCTGTTTGGCTTCAGCAAAAGTCTTAAGAGTTCCTTATGCTGTGCCGTGTCTCGCGTTTGGCTTTGGCGTTTCACGTTTTGGTGTGGCTTGTAAAAAGCATATGAAGAAGAAACCCACCTTTTCTTCGACGGTATACTACTATGCGAAATAGATATCTCTTTCTTTTTTGTTCTAAAACAATGTTTATATTGTACAGTGATTGGAAACTATAATGTGGTTTGGACACATTATATAAGATAGTTCCCATTTTTAAAATATATGTAACCTAAGATAAATCATATCTTCCAATTTTAAATTATTCTCACGAATGATCAATTTGATTAACAAGCCAACGAAAATTATTTATGAATATTGGAAAATGGCTTTAAGTTTTGTAGATATGATTATTCTTACAAAATAAATCACAAAGGATATATGATATACTTTCTTCTCATATGACTTGGTACCTAAGTAACTAGCCCTAGCTTAATTCAAAGCCAAGAATAGATTTTGTATGAATATTTTAGTTACTAAGAAATTTAAAATCCACCGCCAAATCCACCACCAGCACCACCACCACCGCCGAATCCTCCTCCAGCTCCTCCAGCTCCTCCACCACCAAATCCTCCGCCTGATCCTCCACCAAATCCCCCGCCTGCACCACCACCGTGACCCCCACCTGCACCACCACCAAATCCTCCGCCAGCTCCTCCACCAGCACCTCCTCCGAATCCTCCACCTGCACCACCACCAAATCCTCCTCCGGCCCCTCCACCTGCACCACCGCCAATACCTCCACCGTGTCCTCCTCCAATACCACCCCCAATACCTCCACCATGGCCTCCTCCGAGTCCTCCACCTGCCCCACCTCCTGCACCACCTCCTAGACCTCCACCGTGGCCTCCTCCGAGTCCTCCACCAGCACCGCCTCCTGCACCACCTCCTAAACCACCACCATGGCCTCCTCCGAGTCCTCCTCCAGCACCTCCTCCGGCACCACCACCAATACCTCCACCGTGGCCTCCTCCCAGTCCTCCACCACCACCTAATCCTCCACCGGCACCACCTCCAGCACCACCACCAATACCTCCACCGTGGCCTCCACCAATGCCACCTCCTAGACCGCCACCATGGCCTCCTCCTACACCACCTCCAAAACCTCCACCAGCACCGGCACCTCCACCGCCACCAATCCCTCCTCCAAAACCTTTTCCGCCACCAAAACCACCGCCAAGTCCACCACCACCGCCTCCTAACGTCTCCTTCTCAAATCTCCTACACTCCACAACCCCTATCACCACCACTACAAGTATCAAAGCCAAAAACCCAAAAGATACTTTCCCCATATTTTTGATTGTTCTAGTATCTTGATAATGATCAGTATACAATTGTTATATCTCACTTGACTAGTTACGAACACTATATATACTCCTAGTAAGTAGAGAAAGCATTTATGAGATATAGTTGAGAGACAGGCCTTTTTCAACATCTACTTTCCTACACCGCGTTTCTCCACATGTTCTCATGTCCCAGTCACTCATGTTCGTTTTTTTCTACGAAGCAATTTATTAGTAACACCCAAGTGGCCTCTTTTATACTATTAATCTCCTATTCCTATCATAACATAACCTGTCATATTTTATTTAGATGTATGTTCTTCAACTTCAAGTATTGTATACAGCTATATAGCTGAGAAAATTCAAAACGAAGACTAGTTCCGAAATAAACTAGAGAGACAGTGGTGGGAAGGTGAGGATGTAATCAATTTTAAGAATATCGTACTCTCTTACACTTAGAGCTTCTCAACTACTTTGGATTTGGTAGCCACATTAACTGCAAAATCCCCACTATCATTTTCATTATTAATCCCTCTTGTAACTAGTGCTAACAAGTAAGTAATGCAGCCCTTAAATGTATAAGAACAAGTTTGATATAATTTGCTGTACAGATTTACAGTAAATCTATTATGAATATACCAGTTAATTATCTGTTGAAGCATATGGTAACTGACATTTCAATTATGAGTTATAAGGATCGTTAACCAATATCACTCTGCTTCTTTTCATTCGTTTGCCTCTCTTGGAGTTATCAATATACACAAAGTGCAAACAAAAGAGAGAACAAGATAACTTTCTATCCTCTTCTCTACTAATCTCACCGGAAACAAAAACTCTCTATCCTCCTCCGGTGCCGTTAGACTCTCTCACACAAAATACACATACAAACAAGGATACAAACAAACTCTCTCCTGCCAAGTGTGACTACTATGGCATCATCAACATCATGTCGCCGCTGCCGCTAGCGTTTGCCAAAGGGCGTTTCATAGGTACGGGGAGCTCGAGTATGATGAGGAAATATGAGCGTTCTGACTCTCGGATGTACTGAACCTCACCGTTCATGAGCTTTAGAATCTTTCTACATACGCTTAGACCTAACCCTTCAGGGCTCGTCCACCTGCTGCTATGAAACATGTCTCGGACCAGCTCTGGAGGTAGACCTTCACCTGGGCACGCCATTCTGAAACAACCAAAGTTAAGACATAACAAAGAACCAGAAACATCCTAACAAGTTCTGCTAATTCTAGTCCTACGGTTTCTGTAGACGTTACCAATCCGGTCTAACCAAGTTAAAACTTTCCAACTACGTAACGATCCAAAATCAAGCGGTTCTATATCTAAAGAGCTAATAACCAGAACAGATATGAGGAGACAACAGCGGGTACAATGAAAATGTACCTATATTCTGTGCGGATAGCGTAAAATCCATCAGCCATTTGCTTCGGAACATGGCTTACATGGATCTCCACCCACTCATGGGACGGTGCATACCGGATTATACTCAGCAGAAACTCAGCTAGGAGCTGTTGAATCCTTATCTGGTCTCCATAAACTGCTATAGACTTGATTTCTTCAGGAATGTCACGGATCAGCTGAACACCTCTCTCCCTTAATAAGAACATCGCCTGACTTACAATCGCGTTTATGACACTTCCGAGTAAGAACTCCGTTCTATGTAGCTCAAAGGAACTGATCAAATGAACAAAAACAATGTTTGGAATCTGGTCACGTTTTGTTAAGTAATCAAAAGGGAGAACTTTAATTAAGCTCACCCGTCTTCAATCCTTTCAAGGTCCATGTCACTGACAATCCTTGAGATCTGTTTCTCGCAAGAAACACTCGTTTCAAGAAACTGTTTCTGATCCTCGTTCAAGTCTGTAGCTTCCAACAACGAGTTTGTGAAACGTAAACCGCTCAAAGGATGCTTTATCACCTGACAAATGTAAGCTAGCTCTTTCGCCTTCGTGAAACACTCTGTGTCCTGCCTTCGTTGGACTGCTAAAGCTTGCTGCAGCTCAGGACTCGGGATCTGCAAGAAACAGAAAGCCCCAACAACCTTTCCTTCGAGGTTTACACGCTTGTTTGCAGTCAATAGAGCCTGAACAAACTTCCCGTTGCGGTCAAAGAACGGGAAAGGGAACTTGTCAGTTTCTTGGCCACCTATTGCATTATGCAATACAATCATGAACTTGGTTAATGCATCAGGACCCTTTAGCCTGCAATAGCTCCCAAACACTTCTCCAACAAGCATTTTCCCAATCACTTCACTGCGAGACAAACCCGTGAGCTTTTCCAACGCGGTGTTCCACTCCAGGCAACATGTATTCTCGTCTGCCGCAAAGATCGGTGGAATCAGTGGGTTTGGGCTATGGACAATGGCTTTGTAGTCTCCTTGTATGTTGATGAACTTGTCCATCACGATTTTCTGACTAGTAACATCCTGTCCAACAAAACAGACGCCGACAATGTTGTTTGAGTAATCCTTGCTCGAACACGCATTCACAACCACAAAAACTGCTTTCCCTTGTAGTTCAGGGCTGAAAGTTTTCAGCTTTATCTCCACATTCTTGTCCTCATCCCCTACAAAAATGTATCAAAAATAATCAAGTAATGAATATATACTGCAGATACAACATAGTTAGAGAACAGAATATACCTCTTAGCGCACGAGAAATGAGCTTATCAACAGTTTCTTCATTCTCTTTGTATATCAGATCAGAAACCAGAGACTTCCCCATAGCTTCTTCAACCGAGAGACCAGTCAATTCTGCAATCTTAGCGTTCCATCCATTGATGCATCCTCCAGTATCCACAGCGAATATAGGCACAGTTGCTGTTTCGATGAGTCTAACCATCTCTCTTGCAACAGCACCTAACTCATCAATCCCCTGCTCTCCTGCCATACTATAAGGCTGAACCGCACCATCTACAGCTTTAGAGTTCATAGCTGCCTCAGATTCTTTAAAGGAGTCCCTCAGAATCAGCTGGAGCGAATGAATCGCATCCATTTCCGCAGTTTCCCACGGCTGACTCCTGCTCTTAACAACTTCAAGAAAAGCCTTGAAAGAAGAACGAGGATGCATCCTTTGCCCATCATCTTTGTCCTCTGGATGATGCTTAGCGCCTCCCCATTTGATTTCTTTGGCGGTATGAGACCGAAACCAGAAAAGAAAATCTCTTTTCGTGATATACGCAACCGCCATACCACACACAGCATCCCCTAAAGCAGCTGCACCGGGATATCCCGCGTCCCCTAAACTATCAGTGCTTAAACCAGTCGAATCAGCGTGATTCGCAAGCAACCACTCCACAACGTCTTTTATCTGAGCCTCGCTTGGAGCAACACCCAACGGGTAATACTTCCCGTGGTAAAGAAACGCCGCACCGTCACACTTCACCAAGTCCATAATACTAGGACTCTGCGTAACAATCCCAGCAGGCGAGTCACGCAGAAGCATATCGCACAACAGCGTCTGCGTCCTCAAAACGCGTTTCTCCGACATCTGCAAAGCTAACTGCAACTCCATGTTCAACTGTAAACCAAACGCCTGCATCAGAAACTCGCAAGCATACCGCAACGGAAACGGTATGCATCGAGAGGAAGTATGATGACAAACAACCAAACCCCAAAGCCTCATAGAGCTTCTCCCACCACCAACATTACTCCCATCATCCTCATTCCCGTTTATTATAACCGCCATCGCTAACGACGCGATAGATCCCATATTCGCCATATACTGAGAGTGACAACCATGAGGCGCCCTAAGAGTAGACCCAACCAAACACATAGATTGAGTAAGCCTCTCGTCTTGCACCACGAGAACCGGCGTCGCGTGGCAATCCACGATCATCCGCACACGGTTCTGCTTAAACAAGAACCGTGACGCTTGAGGAATATCAGTAGCGGGATAATGCAAACCAATGTAAGGCTCCAAATCCTCTCTCCGACTCTCCGCAACAACCTCTCCATGCTCGTCTTCGTGAAACTTGTACACCATCACACGATCGTAACCAGTCAAATCTCTAACACTCTCCACAACAGTATCACATAAAAGCTTAATATCTCCACCGGGGAGAGACTGCAACTGCGAGATAGCTCTAACGGCCAGCTTCTGAGACTGAACCGCTCCGGCGATCGAGAGCGCCGGATCCTCCGTTCTCGCGGGCTCTAAATCGATCACGACTCCGACGTCGATCCTGTGGAGGATCGCGTAAAACGGTTTCCCGGTGTATTTCGAGTGGATCCAGACGGGATTTAGCAGCGTGATCTCACGCGCGACGAAGGCGCGTTCGAGGAGGATGGAGCTGGAGGAGGTGAAGAGAGAGCGGACGTCGGTTCCCATGGAGAGAATCTCCGGCCTCTCGAGGCTGGGGACGGACTGCGGCGTTAGGCCTAGCATTTCCCGCGCGTTCTCGCTGTGGCCGATGATGGTGAAGGTTGACTCGTCGACGGCGATCATGCATCCGAAAGGCTGTATGTAACCGCCGCGCTGGATCCTGGAGAGGTAGGCTGTGATTTGTTGTTCGGGGACGGAGGAGTTGTACGTCGTCGTTTTGAGGGATTGGGAGTAGTCGAATGATTTTCCGGATTCGCCGGATTGTTCGAAGACGGCGTGGAGTCTCGCGTCGACTGTGTATTGTTGGATGGCTTTGCTTACTGATTCCGTGTGCGTTTGCGGTTGGTTCTGTTGTGAGGGTCTGAGAGATTTCGTCCCTGAGGAGGATTGAGCTTGTTCTTTGCGGTGACTTGAGGATGATGCTTCTCCGCCGCGGCCGCGACCGCTCCCGCCGCCGCCGACTCCGGAAACCATAATTCTGAAAATTAGGTGGAGATTACGTTAGATTATATGGAAAGGGAGTGAGGTTTTGGGAGTATGTTATGCTGAGAATTGAAGCGGGGAGATTCTTGGTGGACTGATTCTGTAGAAGCTGCGATTTTCTCGAGAAAAGTGGTGAGGTTTCGAGGGAAATTGGGATCGGAAAAAAAATAAATATCAAAAGGTAGAAATTGGTTTACGGAAACCAATTAAATGAAGCAGAAGGCAATTGTGTGTTTGTGAGTGAGAGAGAGAAGAGTCGCTTGTCAGCTTCCTCGTTAGCTTTTTCTATCGTTTTTTTTTTCTTTTTTTGCTTCGACTGTAAGTTTTTTTTATTATTTGTCGAAATCACCCCATAACTTTTAAGATTTATCAATTTAACCCGAAAATGTTTGTTGTCGTATTGTAAGAAAGAAAGATCCAAAGAGTTTGGCCCAATATCACGTGGGCTATGCTTTATTCTCTTTTAGTGGGGCACGTGGCCCCTGGGCCCGTGGCGAATACAAATCATACTTTTTGTGTCTTGTGGCTGGTTTCAGATCGTTGGAAAGTCTAAATCCGACGAAACGTAAACGTAATCGGAAAAGGTTGAATGGTGGTGGTTATCGATTCTTGTTATATTCTTAGGATATCATGATCATCTTTCTACAAAACATGTTGACAAGTATGAAAGAAGAGATCGATATCAAAAGCTGGTCGTGAAAATAATGTTGATGGTTGTGAATTAGGTATATTGTGAGGTGTCCCACTTAGTAAAAGAACCACTGAAATGAGAACGAAAAATGTGGCTTTTTCACAAAGGTATTGGAAGGGTTTATCACCGTGATGGTCTAAATTTAGTAGTTCGATGAAAATGCACTTCAAGTTCACAGATATGTTTTGTTTACGTGGTAAGCTATAGTATACGTACTTGAACCAAAAAAGATATCATATTAGTTGTTTGGATTTAACAATCACACAATAACAACTCGTTATAAGAATTACTGACTTAAGAAACTTTTTTTTTAAAAAAATAAAGGATTTCAATTAAAAACATAAACAATTACAAGGTAAGGCTATAAAACCTTAAAGTTTGCATGAAACACTTCATGATGAAATAAGTCTCAAACCTAAGGAAAATTTAGGTGAAACTAGAAAGAACCAAAGAAATGAAAGAGAGTAGCTAATGAGAAGACTTAAGAAACCAAAACCTCCTATCAAATTTCACGACTTAAGAAACTTGTTTAAATCAAATTTAGTCTAATCATTATAATGTGCATATGCAAGTTTAAGTAATTATATTTTTACTCGTATACCTTTTTAGCTAACATAAATCATAAATAACGTAGAAACGAAGATAAAAATGTGTGTGTTAAGACTTAAGATTTGAGGGAATTTAGTTTCTCACTGAAGAATTAATGTATATGTAAACATATATATACACGACGAGAACTAGCTTTTTGTTTAACATATACTAGATTTTAACCCGCGCAACCGCGCGGGTGTTTGTTTTCATTTGTAAATTGGTATATATTATAGTAATCACATATTTACGATATGTATAGTAAATGTTTTTCAAACATAATAATATTATATAATACGTGTTTTAATCAAATAGATTGTTTCAACTTTTCTATATTATACATGTTTTTCAAACATGTGTTTGTTTTTTCTTCTATATTTTATTGTTTTTAGATTAGTATTTCATTTTAGATAAACTAATATAAATAGAACTTGATTAAATATTAGTATACTTCAATTTGGAAAGATAATATAAACTTCGAAGAAATTTTTGCTAAAAACTAAACTTATAGCTTCATAAATCAATATTATAAAGAATTTTATCAAAAAAATAATTTTTAAACAATTTCTTTTTAAAACAATATAATTTTAAAATTTTACATCGAAATAAATTTATCTAGTATATATAGTGTGTAAATTTTGTTAGGGTATATAAATATTCCATATTACGAATCTGTGATTTTTGTTAATATATTGTGGATACATTTAACTATTATTGACATATTTCCTTATAAATAATAGAAGATTCCTAAACTTATATCTATTGGTATATTTTGCGTGACTAAGTTGGAAGGTATGGGGTAATTTACCAAAACCAAATTGTTAAGCGTATCTTTATTATTATAGAATATGATTTTTCATTAGATATAATAATGATAAGATTATTAGAGAGTCAATGTAACATGACTTTCTAGTAATAGTTCATTTTAAAAAAAATCACACATGAAGTCAAGTCATGACTTCTGTTTTAATATATAAGATATATTTTTTTGTTCAAACTTTTTGTTTTAACTTATACTAGATTTTGACCCGCGCAACCGCGCGAGTGTTTGTTTTCGTTTATAGTTAGTTATATAAACATTTTGTTTTCACTTGTAAAACTGATATATATATTATAGTAATCACATATTTACGATATGTATAGTAATTTTTTTTCAAACATAATATATTATATAATACGTGTTTTAATTAAATAGATTCTTTCAATTTTTTTATATTAGACATGTTTTTCAATATGTGTTTGTTTCTTCTTCTATATTTTATTGTTTGTTAGATTGGTATTTCATTATTAGATAAAGTAATATAAATAGAGCTTGATTAAATATTAGTATACTTTAATTTGCAAAGATAATATAAACTTCGAAATTTTTTTTTGCTAAAAACTAAACTTATAGCTTCATAAATTAATATTATAAAGAATTTTATAAAAATGGATTTTTAAACAATTTATTTTTTTAAACAATATAATTTTAAAAATTTACATCGTGATAAATTTATCTAGTATATATAGCGTGTAAATTTTGTTAGGGTATATAAATATTCCATATTACAAATATGTGATTTTTGTTAATATATTGTGCATGCATTTAACTATTATTGACATATTTCCTTACAAATAATAGAAGATTCCTAAACTTATATCTATTGACATATTTTGCGTGACTAAATTGGAAGGTGTGGGGTAATTTAGCAAAATCAAATTGTTAAGTGTATCTTTGTTATTATAGATATGATTTTTCATGAGATATAATAATGATAAGATTATTAGAGAGTTAATGTAACATGATTTTCTAGTAATAGTCCATTTTTTTTAAAATCACACATGAAGTCAAGTCATGACTTCTGTTTTAATATATAAGATATATATATACACACATATAAAGCTATTCGGAGATTTGTAGGAAACTCTACCCCTAGGACTCTTGTTATTATCTAAACTGGCTGATCCACTAAAAAGAGAGCTCATAACTGAACAAAATCTTAAAAGTCGTAGGGGTGAATTTGGATTACTCGGTGATACTATATACCGATCGATATTTTCAGTCAATTTCTATTTTAGAAAACAGAAAACTTTAAAGAAAAATCGTGTGCATGAAAATTAAGAGTTCACTAGAAAAATATTTTGGGGCAGCGTCACAGTTTCACGTTTAGACACTGCTTTTGTCTCTTTATTTGTTGTTGTTATTGAATTATTTTTCTATTTTCTTGTTTGTTTGCTTTGGAGCTGGCTCTATCATAAGTTCGTAACCTACCATTGTTCTTGAACATCATATTATTACATAAACATTTTAATTTTAGTATGAAGACAAAATGATCAACTTATTGTACCACGTAGGTAAAATTTTCAGTTAGAACTATCATGACTAGTGCAGTAGTGCATGTGCTCGTTTTGATGCATGAAAAAAAAACTAAAAAAATTGAAGGTTCTGTAGACGCTGCTATTGGCATCTTGTTAGAGCATGATCAATGGAGGTGCTTAATGGGGATGCTTGGTATTTTTTGTCAGTAAGTCCCGCATAAAATCTTAAGCATCTCTTCTTAAAATGTCTAATTAAACATTTCAAATGGCTTGTTGCTTATACTATTCATGAGTCCCACTGATACGTGGTGACCCGTGATTGGTTCGGGTTTTTTTTTTTTTTTTTTTTTAAATAAAAAAAAAAAAAAAAAAAAAAAAATTTAAGTACCCCATTTGGGGTGTTAAGGTTGAAGATGCTCTTAGAGCAACTCCAATGGTGTTACCCACCATTGAAGTCCTTAACACTAAAACAATAATTTTTTTTTTTTGAATAGTTAAGGACTCTTATCATAAATGTATATCCAATGGTGTTATCTGTTATGGAATTCTTAATTTTTTTTTAATTGAATCTTAAAAATTATAAAATTTGTAAAACATTTAAATTTGAACGAGTGATAAACAAAAGAAGTGTATATATACTGACATGAACAAGTATAATGTAAAAAGAAAGAAAATTTCATGAGATTAAATTTGTTTAACAAGGAAGAATGTTTGGAGTTAAAAGGAGAGGAAAACGTACTGATGAAATTTGATGTCCTCCAAATCAATAGCTTTTGCACCAATTGGTGATCGAACTAAATGCATGCAGAACATTCAACTGAGACAAGCTGAGCCATCGCAAGTTACTTGTTCCAAGTAACACAAACTGTTACAGAAGATGCGATAGTTGAATAGCAGTAGCCACGCCTTGTGCTTCCTTCTCGGACATCTTAACCTTTGTTGCCGCTGTTCCCTGTGACATTGTAAATCATCTAAACCAACTTCAATGCCAGTAAAATGAACTAGAGACCAATCGTCTCGATGTTGAGCATGATCACACGACCTAGCTCCTTAATCTCAAGTTTCAATCTTCTATAGAGACAGTACAATGCTTATTACAAAATCAGTGTCCTACTAGGAATCGTATGCCTCTAAGTTAAATTAGACAAAATCTTTATGGGCAACAAGACCATTCTCAGAAAAACAATAATTATAGTCGGTGGTGACTGCAAAAAAATTACAAACTCGAGAGTATTAGCCAAACAGATGGAGACTCATAAGCCAAGAAATCAAACACATTTCTTATTAAGAAAAACAAATAAAGACATAGACTTGGAGAAATCAAACACATTCCATAATCTAAACACACTAATGACTTAAAGGATCTTATGTATATTTGTTGTTAATGGATCTAGTCAACGATCTAAAGCAAAGAAAGTCTCAGCTTTTAAAAAGGCCATATATAACAAAAGAGTGACCTTTCTCATCAATGTAAGTAAAGATCCTTCCTTTAGATACCAAATCAAATTTCTAAAAACAGAGTATATTTTAATCTGATCACATTACATACATGTTTTCCCAAGCTGCTCAGATATCTTGCTAAGATCAGATCCACCAATGACTCCAACAATGACCACCTGAAACTCTCACAGACATTTGATCAAACACTAACCAGGCATTATTAAAGCTACAATAGATCAATCACACAACATACCT